ACCAAGACCTATAAGGTTATATGGCCATCATAAAAGTAGTTGACCGCAAATAAATACCCCCTTTGTGTAGTTCGCACTAAGCTTACCGGTTGGCAATAAATCACCTTCTAAACATTTCTTGCTCATATTTAACAGGGCCGGCTTTCAAAGCGAGTGGTTATTTCGGAACCCTCAGCGGCTGCAGGTAGTAAAGAAATAGTGGAGTGGTGGATTTTCATATTTAGTGAAAGCCGCCCCTGAACGAAACCACAAGAACCGGTCGAGCTGCAGTGGACACGTTATTTACGACCCTAAAACCTTTTCTATTGTAAACAACTTAACTTCGACACAATGGGATGATTTTATGATGGCCATATAACCTTATAACTCTTGGTTCACTATATCTCGGCATATCAGCATGGCTTTATGGCTAACCGTTCAACAGTCTCGAATCTTGCTGTTTTCTCCCAGTATTTGTCGGATTCCCTGGATGATAAATGTCAGGTCGATGTAATATACACTGATTTCCAAAAAGCATTTGACAGGATTGATCATTACGTTTTACTGGAAAAGCTCAGCCGTGTCGGTTTCTCCGAACCACTATTAAAATTGATTCAATCCTATTTATTTGATAGAGAATTCAGAGTTAGATATCGTAATTTTACCTCTGTTGCATTTGTACCCACCTCGGGCGTGCCAGAGGGTTCCAATCTGGGTCCATTGCTTTTTCTATTGTTTATCAACGATCTTGCTGAATCGGTATCTTGTAAAAAGTCATTGTTCGCCGACGATTTCAAACTCTTTTCAATCATCAATTCAGTCAGTGATTGTTTTCTTCTCCAACAAAATTTAAACTCTGTGACCCGCTGGTGCGACAGCAATCGTCTCCAACTCAATATTTCCAAATGTAGAGTAGTCTCTTACTCAAGAAAACAAGACATTATCACATACTCGTACAATGTAAATGGTATTCTAATGGAGCGTTCACAAACATTCAAAGACCTAGGTGTAGTTTTTGACAGCAAACTTGCTTTCATTGACCATATTAATACAACCGTTAACAGTGCTTCTAAAATATATAGTTTTATCTATAGAAACTGTCGTCGCTTTTCCAATGTTGAAACTATCAGATTATTGTTTTGTTCGCTTGTAAGGTCGAGATTGGAATATGCTTCCTTAATCTGGTATCCTATTTATGATGTACATTGTCTTAGTTTAGAATCGGTTCAGAGACGTTTCCTCATAAATTTAGGGTATATTTAGAAGATGGTATTTACCCTCCGAGAGGTTGTGAGCAATCCCTATTACTGTCGCGTTATAATTTACTATCATTAGAAACTCGTCGTAATATAATTGCTGTTAGATTTGTATATAACCTTTTTCATAACAAAATCGATTGTACTGAGCTTCTCAGCCAATTCAACTTACTAGTAGGGGAACGAGGGGCTTGTTGTAACAGTTTTTAGGAAAACGAATATAATTTGGTATCTTATAGCTGTTTGACCATTATAAAAGTATCTATCGGTAGTCTAACTATTCCCCTATTGGACTGAACAGGCAAAAGGTCAAAATTGTTCATCTTCACTTCACCCCAGGCATTTTCTTAAAAAAAGTCCATTGTTACAACTTGCCCCGTGGTTGGGGCTAGTTGTAACAGCCATGAGACAGGTAGTACCAGTAAAAATAAAGCTGATGTTGATACATATTTAGATTTTATTTTTCAAAAATCAACACAACACTTCATTCTATACAATTTTTTTTCAGTAAAACTGAAATAAACTTTTAGAAAAAGAGTCAACATTAAAAATTTGAGTGTTGTTTTCCTTTTTCTTAATATATCTGGAAAGCGATATATGGCATAGGTCAAAATTTTGGCTCGCTTTTCGTATGCTAGGTACGAGATTTGTAGAAGTGAATTTGGGATAAGTTGTAACATGTTACAACTTGCCCCAAAGCTATTGTTACAACATGCCCCGTAGCACAATTTTCTACATTTAATTACATTTCGACAAAATTATGTGGCTTAGCGTCAAAATGTGTAAGGAATATCAAAGCTGAGTAATTTTTGAGCTACATGCAAAACTAAAAGTTTTAAATTAATTAATAACTGTTACGAAAAACCAAATTTTACTGCAGCAATATTTTACATTAATTGGCCAAAACGAAACACGTGTACACATCCTCTCACTGCGCTGGCTCAAGGAACAGTGGTTGTGATGACATGATGTCTTATGGTGCAAGAATTAAATTCAGTAAAATACCTGACGTTAAAGAGTTTAAATTGTGGGTAAAAATTTAGTGTTACAACTTACCACTGTTACAACAAGCCCCTAATTCCCCTACCTCGTGTAAACTCCAGACCACAGATGTTATTTAACGCTAACTTTAGCAGAACCAATATGTCTATGCGATCGCCTATTATAATTATGTTCAATTTATTTAATAAAATTTCACACTTATGCGATATGAACCTTGATTCACTTCGACATATTGTTTCATGTGTTATAAACTTAGAATAAGTTTTTTCCCCTCCTGCATCTGCCTATCTTATTGTTCAGATTTATATTTATGTCGCAATGAAGCATATTTATTTCTTTACTATTAATAGTTGTACAATTTATATTTTGTTAGTTTAGTACTGTTACTACTTATTTAGTTGATGTTTATTTGATCCTGTAAATGGGTGTCATACCTGTTGGAATCAATAAAGTTATTATTATTATTATTAATATTATTATTATAGAAAGAACCGCATGTGTCACACCATTGAATGCAAAAAAATGATTTTTAATTTTTATTAGACAGATAATCTCCGAAAGTACTGGACCCATTTTTGTAAAATTTTGTATTAATACTTATTAGGAATATCATGTAAAACGCTAGCCAAAATTACTAGCGCTCCTTCATCAATAAATCCATTTCTTGTACCTGCATGTAATACAATATACCTAAAATATAGTGAGAAGAATAAATAACTAACATGAAACTGACACATTACTACCTTTTCCATTCTATTTTGAATGTCCTGATACTTTTGACTCTATCGTGTTACCATGACCTACCTAACTACCGAACCATTTTCAAATATCCATGTTTCATCAAGATATACACATTGCAAAGGATTTGGGTTCTGCTGATTGTGCATGTATTCACGTAAGAATTTGGTTCTTGCATGTTGTAATTCCATAAGACGGTTCCGTACATTTGTTGGAGAATAACGAAACCTAATAGAATGTAAAATTCTTCCTAATGAGCCCACAGAACCCTCAAATATATGTTTCTCCTTCAAGCAATCAAGTAATGACGATCGTGTAGCATGTATTTCTGTAAAATAATCGTTAGTATCTATAAGGCGTGGGTATCAAATTCATACTTTTTTCTACCATTCCATATAAACATTCTCGAAACTGCTCCGAAGTGCTAATATCACACACTGGCTTTTTTCAGGGTCGCTTTTTCTTGGGAGAATGCACACCTTCTCCGGTTTTTATTTGCTGTACCATGGAGTTCACTGTTCGCACACATACACCGAGGACAGCAGCAACCCTCTGTACAATGTGACTGCATTAGTAACTGTAGTAAAATACACCTACTTACGTCTTGAACAGTTGTTAGTGGTAACAGAGGTCCTCCGTTATCGCGTTCTTTAGCAAATTAGTCCACTAAATTAGTGACCATTTGCTTTGCATCTTTGTGCAAGGGCTTCGGCATGGTGGAATGTTTACGTTCAAGCTAGCAAACTGTCATAGTTCTGAAAAGAACTGATACGGCATTGCACGAGAAGAAAAATAGAAAAACGCGTAAAATCAAACAATAACACAACTTAACCAAACTGACACCAATGACACTTGAAAAACCGATAAAACTTTGGCATATGTTTCGCTAGTAGTCGTGCCGATATAATGTCAACAAAATCGATCGATTTTGATCCGTATTGCGGCGCGTATTTTTGATTTAGTGTTGGTAAAGGATCGATGGCATCCATGACGTGTACGCATTGTTTCCTAATTCTTACTAAGCACGCTTATTTACATTTTGTTAGTGCCTCTGGCGGGAACCTGTTTCACCCCTCTCCACCCGCAAGGGTGGGAGCCAGAGCCACTACCACCTTGGAACACAGGGTAACATTATTCATTCGGAATTCATTGAGAGACTCTATATTCATTCTGAGAACCTAACGGTCATAATCTATTCTTATTCTAGAACACACTTGTTATTGTTTAATAAAACTTATAAAATGACTGTCCGCTGTTCTAATTCATAATCATCAAACTTAACACATTTACTTTTACATTACAGAGGTGCATTTGTTTTGTTGCGCTGACTTGGTTCTGTGAATGTGGTGTAGACAAGTTATACCTAATCAATCAATTGTGAATTACATCATCAAAAATTAAAATAAAATCTATTGTTTCCTATAATAAGCGGAAGTCGCCCCTGCTAATACACGCGGCATACGTGGGTAAACTGTTTCTTTATTTTATTGATTTATCTATATTCAAGACGACTCAATTCATTTCATCGTAAATTTGGGAATACAGTACTTTTATTTTTAGTATTACACTACATCTATCCAAACTGATATACGTGTCCTTGCAAAAATGTTCATGCATTTTTTTTTTAAATGCCCTGCTACAAAAATGTAATGAGAGAATAAAAACTTAATCGGCATGCACTCGTCACGTTTCTGACAGCGAGGGAAGTACTGTCTAAACTTTTTAGTCCAATTTTTATGTTTATAAATTTTATTGTTTCTACCAACTGAAAATGAATAGTAAGAATTGCACTCGTATATCATTTTAATCGCATTTACTGGTCAAAATCCGCTAAAAAAATATTTTAATTTCAGATGTTTGTTCGTTTAAAGCCAACGAAATCTACACCCAAGGAAAAAACGTAACATGGTCAACTTGTTCTTCTAGTGGCCTATATTTACATCTGGTCGAAGAAAATGGAGAATTTTTCATCAAAGGTAAATCGAACAACACAATCTGGATTTTTTTTTGGAGGTAGGTACTTACACAAAATTTTTTTCGACACTGGCACTTTCTGGATAGTAAACTGAAATGTGTCTTTATAGTGTGTTCAGGCGGTGATGAGGACCAACATTTGTATAGAATCACTTGCCCATCATCAAATTCTTGTAAAGAATACAGTGTCTGTCCCATGGGTTCTGAGCTGGATAAAGGTAAAAAAAAATTAATTGAAAAACACTATTTTCTATTAACTCAAAACTTAATTAATTAATTAATTAATTAAAATATTATTGTTACAGGGGGGGTTATTATAAAGTGGTTAACGTGGATATGGAAAGTCTTCCTACCATTAACATTTACCGTAGTTGCAGCTCTTTTCTTGGTAATGTTTCTATGGTGGAACTGGATCCTAAAAAAAAAAACTAACTACGAAACAACTAATGGTGGTTTTTACTTGTTTAAACACAAAATGAAATAAATCAAAAGTTAGCTTTATCCTTGAGTACACTATGTTAACCACTGCAAATCTATAATATGGGTTTTGATGTACCTATGTACCTGTTATACCTATAGTCATGTACCTACGATTTATTTTCCAACGAATACTTAAGTAAGCAAATAATATTTATTTTAATTGAAAATACATTTACATATTATTACATCAAAACGATTAAAGGGTGAATTTATTAAAAGTTCTTACATCAGAAGAATTTAACCTAAATTCAAAATAGAAATGTTCTATCTACTAACTTTAAATTTATTTGTTTTAATTCAAACTGAAGTTAACAATATAACGCTGAAGGCAGTGATATTACACAGTACAAAAGTCCCTAAATAAATGATAAGAATACTATTTATGTCTACGTAAGTATTTAGAATGTTTGATTGAGTATAAAGCGATTAAAGCTAAACAATACGTACATTTATTCAGACGAGGGGTCTGGATATTATACACACAAAAATAATTAAAAGGCAAATAACATAAAACTTTTTTGTACCATTGTATGATACATGGATTAAGTAGATAATATAGAGGATGTTCTTGCTCAACAAACAACAATATTTGCTCGTACTTTAGTTTAATTTTTTTGGTCTTAGGTAAAATTAAACATGAGGAACGCAAAAACTTGAAAAAATGTGCAATGAATCAAGAATGAAAATTAGAGAAATAGCGAAAACAAAAAAATAAAAATGTATAAACAGTCAATATTAATAATAGTGATCACTGATTTTATCACACAGGAAATTATCACATATACTTACTTGATTGATTAAGATCAATAATTCCTTCCCCCCCTTTATCTAGAATACTAGAGTTACAATCTGTTTGGGAGACAATATGTCTAGTTTCATCAGATAATTCCACATCATTTATAGTGTCATTCAACCAAGTTTTGGAGAGAACAATTAACTTTTGAGACTTAGAAATTAACGACAAATAAAATTATCGTTTTCGTGTACAAAACTCTTACATTTCGATTGTATCATAATTATAATTTTAATGACTGTTTATTTCAACAATATGAGTGTTCATCTAGTTACAAAAAATTGTTATAAATTATAACATAAAACTGTAACATTTATATGACACATATTCTACAAAATCGCACCTACTTGCAAAATATTTGCTCTCCCGATGTGTAATTTCTTACTTACGGGAACGAGGGGCTTGTTGTAACAGTGCAAGAATTAAATTCAGTAAAAACCCTGACCTTAAAGAGTTTAAATTCCTGGTAAAAATTTAGTGTTACAACTTACCCCTGTTACAACAAGCCCCTAATTCCCCTACTACATACCTACTTTTTGAACTATTCAGTTTCACGTTTGGATCTTTGCCTGGATTTTATAATCGGAATTTAAAAAGGGACGACAGCTCACCTTTATCCAAAGTTTAAAATCGATGCTTTCCGTGCTCTTATCAGTTTGAATCGGAGTTAAGCCGAGGGATTAAGGCGCTCCAGGTACCAATGCAACGAGATATGACATTGAATCGGACCTGATAACTGGTTAGTGATTGGTTAGTGATTAGTTGATTATTCACCGGATACATTTTCTTGAAAAACATAATATAGTTAACGTACTTACTTTTCACAATCGCAAAATAGGGGAACAATATGTTTTGTATCGTCAATAACGGATACCATCACCTAAATGAGGCGCTATGCTAATCTTTACATACTTATATATTGTAAGAAGTAGGTAAACAAATTCAAGTAATATCTAAAAGATAATGTCATATAACATAGAGAACAATTTAAATACGCACTAGTTTTAATGAAATGTGAAATAAGTCCCAGCATTATTAAAAACTAGGGATGTACCGACTACCGGCCGACCGGTCGGATAAGCCGACTATTCGGCCGTTTTTCATCGTCGGCTGCAGTCGGCGACTGGTCGGCTAAATAGCCGATCGGTCGGCTTTTTTTATTAAAAACAAAACAATAATTTTATTATTCCAATTTGCACTTAGTATAACGCACAAAATGCAAAAACTTATGGCGCAACATAGTAAACTTAATGCACAAATGTTATTGCGCATAGTATAAAATTTCATGCACAAAGTATTAAAAATAATGCACACTTAATTACGACCCTATAACATAGGTATAGACTTAGGGAAAGCTGGAGCATGACGGTGAAATTATGCAGTTTTGTTAATTTTTTTCCGTTATTATTTGAGTTATCTAGATGCAGTTTTCACAAAACCGTCCTAAAAAATATTTTTCATGTTTTGGTGGGAGCTACATACAAAATTTTTCCAGTCTTTGCTCCAACAATACATCCCTAAATGTGCCAGTATATGTTATAAATGAAATACCTACTAGTAAACAAAAATATGGTACACTTACCACCCCGGATAAAGCATCATAATTGACTTTGTATGATCTTTTTGACCATGCTCCAGCAGGAATAACTGTATAATCAGACCAACACCGTCGTTATCAACATCGCCAGTTTGTTATACCAATTCAAGCTCCTCTTTACCAGCTTCTTCCATTGCTTGCAAAGACGACTCAAAAATCTTTTGCAATATTTCAGAGTGGTGTTTGTTGTATTGACGATATGACATTTGAGGAATATTTAATATAATTTGTTGTTCAACTAATTGTGAATGACCATTTCCGGTTGAAATAGTTGCAAATATTTCTGAATATCAGTGTTTTCATCAGTACAAATGGTTTTTTTCGATGTTACAAATGCGGCATTTAAATTTCAAGTAGCTAATTAATCCATTCCGTGTTTCGTTGATGCAATCCATATCCGAAAAAGTACAAGCAAAAGGAGAATGGCAATTTATAATTTTTATTTGTTGTAAAAAGTACGGCAAATTTATAAAAGTAAAGTTTTCGGGATAAATAACTGCATCTTCTTTTTCCAGTAAATACCTATGGTTCTCTAAAATATACAAGTATAAAATATAATACTAAAAAACATGTGAGTTGGATATTTAATTATACTTGCAGTCTGAGTCATTACGTGTGCGTTCCTCGTTAATGATTCTAAATACAAAATAACAAATCAAAGAACAAAGTTGAACGGTTGTATACGATGTGTACAACTGTACACATCGACATATCAGAAGAATGAGAACAAAAAATAGATACAGAGTGTTCTATTTGTAAAAACTGAAATATCGATGTTTGACAATTATAAAGGTTTAAACTTTTTTGTAAACACTCAGTATATTAAAATCTCATTTAATTCACACCTCAACAAAGTACGTGCCTTTATATATCTTTCCACAAAGTTTTGTTAGACAGACTTTAAAAATAATGCAATGGCGATTTTTTTGTGAACCTTTGCATTGCTAGTTTTTAACAAAATTGGAATAACGTGAATTTCAAAAATAAATTGTTGTTATAAAGCCTATAGGGAGAAGTTAATTAAAATATGCAAAAAAATATATACCTAGGTGTTTCATTAAAACAAAAAAAAAAAGTTGTGTGTTACGCTTTAATAATAGAACACTACAACTTTAGTCTATGACTTTTTTATATCTTTAATAATTAATGCGATACCGTGGACCACGCGCTTAGTGACTCACCCTGTACATAGGTACCTACGGATGGAGAATTTTCTTCAGCGATATGACAGTCTGAGTTTTGTTTTGGGACGTTGTCAAGGGTTTCAGACAAAACGTGTTTTTTTGTCAAATTACTGAAATTTTTACACAATTATCTTGTTATGTTGTTCTTAGTTTTCTATTTATTATTGTATAACATAATTGAGACAAAGTATTTTGCTTACCTTATCGCGACTTTACGTCTACTTCTAAATTTAGTTTTCCTAGCTTTCGGCATATTCACTTTTAGTCACTACTAATAAATAAAATGGATATTTTTTAAATAACTAACGCTGGTTTACCTCGGAAAATGCAAGTATAAACTGAACAGTCTGTTCTCGAACTATTTAGCTCTCACAAAATCATATCAGCTACGGTCCACTAGAAAGTGTACATACCACTTGCATTTCAGATTTATTACTTCCGGGTACGGTCCACGTTGCATTTGAGACTGATTGACGACTTCGACAGAAAACAAACGAGCCAATCGCGAAAGAAAGAAGTGTTTGGCAGTCGGTCTAGCCAGCGGCTAAAACCTATCTTTGTTTATTTACTGAAATAGAAGTAGGTATCTCTCATTTTATGACGTATTTCTATACTTGTTTCGTGTAACGAAAACAGTATCCGCCTACATACGACGAAGTCCACCAAAACGAAAAGACAGCCTTAAATAAGAATTTTTTGCTTTCATGACATAGGTACGTAGCCATCTTTCATTTCGGATGAATTATTGGTTGCCTACTTACGCTGGAAGATTTTTTGTTTCGTTTACAGTAAATTTAGTTACATTTTAAAATTATTTATTTGCTTAGTTTTTGGTTAATTACAGAAAAGTTTTTCTTGCTCATTACTATGAATACTTATCTGCAAAAAAGAAAATGGTGCAAAATGCAGTCTAATCAAAATCTTGATTAATTCTTCTCATTTCCCGCGAATTACCTACAATTGAATAATTTTTATCAAAGCTACGTTTTCAAATACCATAAATGAGGAAAGTGTGGTGGAAATAATTTCGTAATTCTTTTAAAATGCATTCCCATAATTACTAAGTAGGTATAATAAAATGAAATTTTCACTTTATTATTTAGTACATGGACAAAAATTAAGATGCCGCTGTAATTTAAATGGAACGATTAAAATATGCTTTCCGTCCGCTGCAATTTCGTCATCTGAGAACTGGTTTGGCGCATAGACCAGGCCGCGTCCGAGGGATTTTCGCCTCTGCTGTTTGGTGCAGATTTGCCGCATGTCATACTTGGGCGAAGCGAAACATAGTTTAAGGTACGTGTCCACTGGAGAGTGACTTGGCGAGAATTCGCGAGAGTTACTTTCAAGGGCTTGTCGATTTGAGAGGATATTTTGGCAAATTTTGCTTGCCGATAGATGTCGATCAGACAAAGTTCTCAAAACCCTGTCCACTACACAGTTGTACTTGCGAGGAAAATTAACCCTCTTTACTCGAACCGACAAAGAATTTATGATTTTACGAGCCTTTTGTTAATTTATTTTTCAAGAAAAGCGGTAAAATATTGCAGCTGTGAAAACAGGTAGTAAGAGGACATAAATTATTATGTGGACCTAAAATTGTGTTAAGAAATTCGCAAATGCACGATGCTATTTCTATTCATGAAAGAGTGATAGTAACATTACGATTTTTTTGTATCAGGTACATATGTAAAAGTATTATGTGAATCATTGAACAAAATAAGGTGTTCTCCATAAGTTATGTCACCCACATTTTGGTGTTTTTGGACAGTGCCGAAACGAAAGAATATATAGATATAGGCGAACCTTGCGTTAGGCGCCCCTCCTCTACAAATAAAAATGCAATTTTACAGAACAGTTTTATTTATATTTTTTAATAAGTACGCAAAACAGATACTATGATCACATATAATAAAAAAAGAAAAAAAAATAGAGTTTATACATATAGGTATATACCTAATATGTATAAATATTATATAAGTTCAAAATAAAATCAACATTAAAAAACCTGTCGCACCGGTTACATGTTTCTGAGTTTCCGTTCAAAATAAAAAAAGATTAATATGACATAATTCTTGGTATAGTTTTGGAAATTTCATTCTACCCTATAAAATTTTATTGACGATAACGAGACGGACAGTAGTACAGTGGTAATAAATATTTATGGCTCACACCAGTTCACTCGAATTTGTTTAGAACATTTGCCAGGTAGTTGTAATTATAAAATAATGGTCATTTCTGTTCATAAGTAACAATGGTCCCTGGGGGTCGATTCTCGAACTCGTTCGAATAAGTTCCGCATACGCAAGTGGCCAATTTTCGAACGGTTTTGAAGATTCGGTATTCTCGAAGCGCGCGCACACGTTGGTATACGCAAATGTTCGAGCGTATACGAACGTCAAGTTACGAGTGGGTAGATGCGATCGCATTTTGGTTTGCGAGTGGTGAAAGCTAACCTAAAACTCTGTTTGGTTTTGGTCGTTCTGTTGTAACCAGAGACTTTAATTAAAGACTGTAATTAAAGTCTCTGGTTGTAACGTCAATATAATATCTTTAATATGCTGTATCTGTTAATATACATTAATAGAAAGGGTTACCATTCCAAAAATACACAAATTGTAATGTATCAATTTGATTGTGGGAATTTTATAATTTCATTTACAATTTTGACATTTGTGATGCAAATTTAAAAATTTTAAATTGAAACAGCCGATTTCTGTGTAGTACATATATATAATAGCTACATATGTATGAAGAAACAACGCACTATTGCGATATTTTGGGTAATTTCTAATAATACATTAACACGTTCTTATTATGGTTGTAACAATAATTTTTAGGTGACTCTGGCTAGCCATTGCGAACATTTCAAATACGTATACGTGCAGTTGTTTCAAATTTCAGTTTTTATTTACTGTACAAAACGGTTGTAATGGTATGCATAAGTATACCTGAATAAACATCGGGTAACCAAACTCTAAGAATTTTCTATAAACTAGGAGAGTACACGCAGTAATAAAGGTATTAATATGCAAATACCTGCTGGCTGTGGTGGTCCCACTCAAAAATAAACATTAAGTTTGTATCTGCATCATTGTAAAAAAAATCACAAGAATTTGTATTAAATACGTAGGGTTGCATAAAATTGTAAACTCAACAATTTTTTTTAATCACGATTTTTTTGTTTTTTTAGTCTGTCAATTATTTGGAATTAAAATCCTAATTAAAATAGTAACTATCCGACTTAATGTCATCCTTGAG